TTGTCCTGTTCTTTTGTGCCCTGAGGTCTGGTGATATTACCATTCAGCCCGATCGCTTCGTGAAGTCGCCACGGCGTGACTTACCTTTCGCCTGTCGTGGCCCAGAGTTGTTGTTAGGCATGCGTGACTCGAAGTTTTTTGGTTCTGAGGGATCGAGGCGACAGGCGTGTCCTGCCACGTGACACACAAGATCCAGGAGCATCACAAATTTTAACTAGACCCCTTTGCTCCCTGATGAAGGTTGACTGTTGATGGGCAACTGATTTTGGCATGCACGTTTACCGCGTGTGCCACCACTTGGCTGTATTGCCTCCGTCATAGCAACCCATAGCATCCCTTTTGAACGCTCGTGTTGCTCCAAAGTAACTTCTGCTATAGAAACCTTATACAATCCCGTCTAGTCGTAACCCTTGTAGAGCCCCTTCTAGAACCTTTACGAAGCCCCTATAATGAGCCTTCTCCATCCCTTGGCCAGGACTTGGCAAGGCTGGCTCAAGGAGAAGCAGCCCTGGTGCATCTCGAGGCCGAGGGTCTTTGGGGGCTTTGTGGGTTCTAGGACTGTTCTATGTTTTACGGGTTTTTAGGGCTTCAGGGCTTTAGGGCTTTAGGGGTTACGGGTTCTAACCCTCTGAACTACAACAGGAGGCGTGGAAGTGCCACCCCGCCAAAGCAACGCGAGCAAAATGCGAACCCTAAATTCCAGAAGCCCTAAACTCTCAGGCAGCTCTGGTGGGGCCACCGCATCCCTGTGACGGGGCCTTAGTTCCTGAAGTTTGACCGGGGACGACGGGTTTTGTCAAGTGGCGTCCCCGATTCTGTGGGGGTTGGATGTCTAGTTTGCTTGTCCTGTGTTATAGAGGCAAAGAGGGGTTCGATAACGGGCTTGCAAGGGTTTCAGAGTTCACACGGCACAAACGAAGGCCTCAGGCATGGACGGCGTGGCTTGAGAGAGTCTCAGAGGGCTGTCTCGATCACGGGGCTTGACTGAGAGATGCAGTCCTAAATGGGGGTTTCCAAAAATAGGGGACCCCAATATAGTACCCTAAATAGTAGGATCCTTATTGTAAGGACCTCAAAATAAGGTACCTTGTTTTCAGAAACCCCCTTTATGAGGGTCCTCCACTTTGCCAGCCCCGTGCTTTCTCAGTCCGGGAACCTGGGTCTTCTTGCTGGCCTTGGGGCAACAGGTTCAGGTTGAGTTTAGAACGAAGAGGCTGATCCAGTCCTAGGCCTAGGCGAGGCCAGGGTTCCAGGGGGGTGTGCATGCTGGCGGTTCGTTAAGATCGGGGTTCTTGAACACGAAGCCTCTGTCCCTGCACTGCAAGACGTGCACGGGCGCAGCTTTAAGGTACTACCCCACGAACCAGCCCGGCAGTGACAAGTACTTCGTGGCCCGTTCCAAGGAAGAGGCAGTGTCCATGACAAATCCCGACAGCAGCCAGACCTCAGGAGAGAATGGGCTGAGATGTTTATGTTGCAAGCTTGCTGGCCGAATCTCAAGCCTTCGTGCCACTGGGGACAGAATACTCATACCCATCCCAGAAACGGCTCGGCACGGCGCGAAGCCACACTATGCTACCCTAGCCTCTTAGGAACCCTCTGGAGCCTTCATCTCCCAAGATTTCTGCTCCCTGAACCATGGCGCGCTGCTGGGCGCTGGGCGCTGCCTTCGCCTGTGGCATCTTCCTGGAAGGAACCTTGGACTCCTTCGGAGGTTGTTCCAGGGCCGTCATTGGGGGAGGCATGAACTGTCCGGCAGGAGCGGCTGAGGCGACATCCGGGAGCGCAGTTGCTTGAAGTCTTCGTGAAACTTTTTGGGAAGCTCCCGAAGGAATTGAGAGCCCTTGCCTCATCTGACCTCCATAATCCCTGTAGCACACCAGTAGCTTGCAAGCTTCGAAACACATGGATGTAGCGTTTGACTGAATTCAAGATCTATGCCCGGTAAGCCACTTAGGAAGGTGTTGAATTTGAAGTCTGCATGGTGTGAAAAACCCCGCGCTTCGCAGAGTTATCTTCACGGATCTCTCAACCAGTGCTGAATTTTGCATGACTCCAGGAAGCGATCTTGAATCTATGAGTTTCAGAGGAACCATGCAGGAGTCCAACGTCGGCCTAAAATGTCGCTTCCCGTATTGAGAAGTAAAGTAGTAAGTAGTAGTCAGCGAGTTTGTTCTGCGAGAACTGAGGTCTCCGAGCGACACTTTTCGCTGGCCCTGTGTCTAACAAGCCCAGGCGTTCGAAGCTCTTGAGCTCTCAAAGTCACCTTCGAGCGTTTTGAAAAGCTTTGCGAGGGCTGCAATACTTGGTGAGTTTGTGCACGTATCAGTCACCCGCCCGGTAGAACATACATTCAAACCAAGTGAACTTGATCGGGACGATGGTTGTCAGCGGTCTCACTGAGCATTGGAAATTTGCAGTTAGTTCTCACAGCCACTTCGGTCAGTTGCTCCGTGTAAAGCTTTCCTAGAAAGAGCTTGCAGACGGATTGGTGGACATGTCATGCCATGCATGTTGTAAGCACATCGGCAGCCTTGCTGGTATCAGACAAGAGGAATTCCAAGGCATCCAAGCGGCGTTGGATTCACTTTCATGAAGCTGGACGGGACTCTGGTATGAAAGCCTGACGAAGTTTTCTGATCGCACAGAGCCCTTGCTACGCAGGGCGGCGCTGCGACACAGCAAAGCCACGGCCGGCAGAGCAGGCTTCGGTGGATCTATCTTTGGTGCGGTGAGGTACGTCAGTGGTCGGGTTTGCAGATCCGAGAGGTCAAAGGGGCTTTGGCACGAGCAGGCATTGTCAATTGTCCGTGGACGTGTTGAGACTGTTGAGATTTATGCAGTGTTGAGTTTGGTTTACTTTCTTTCGTTACACCCGGAAACCGCCTCCGGCCCTTTCCAGATGTGATGCGCGTTGTTTCCGCTACTTCAGCGAAGACAGGACGCCGCATCGATGTTTGAGCGTGTGCTTTTTTGGAAAACAGTAACACAGCAGCAAATACGATAACGTCTTGGCAAACATGCAACTTGTGGAAAACGAGACCACGCTCACCAACTACAGCGCAGAGTAGCCCAAACAAGTAGCTTAACAAAGGACACGGATTTCCCACTCGGGGTATTGAGTATTGACTGTTCCGCCAGAACTGAGTCTTGGGAGGTACATGAGATCATGAAGGCCCCTTAGGCCCCTTCATGACAGAGCCAGGCATCGAAGAGTCGGATGAAGAGCCCTGGGCGCAGCTTCCGGGCTGCAATATCAATCCCACCCATCCCATGATGGCACTTTCTTTGGAGCTTTAGGCCCTTAGCGGGTTTCGGGGCCTTAGGGATTTCGGGTTGCGGGGTGTCGAGTCTGCACTACTCAGTCGGAATATGAAGGGCAGCCAACCCTATACCCTGAGCCCGAAAGCCTCTGCTCGGCTGGGAGAGGGCGTTGGAGGCGGTTCATTCATGCGATACGCATGGAGCAGACGGGGTTCACCCCAACCGAAATACATGGTCTGAGGAGCTAGGACTCGACGGATCTTTCAGTCTCGTTAGCTTCAGGTTTCGCGGCTTTGCCGCTGCATCTGCGGCAGCTGTGCTAGTGGCTGCGCAGCTCGGCATGCAGACTCTTGTGTGTAAATTTTGGCATCTCAGCTCCAGAACGCTCGTAGATGAGATTTTACAGGGACGAGGTGCCGGAGCCAGCAACTAGAACAACGACCACCGTGAAAGGCAAGCAGGTTTTCGCTTCAGACAGCAGATCCGACATCCGCCAAAGAGCTGAACTTGATGAACAAAGCAGCATATAAGTTTCAAGTGCAGTACAGGTTGCTGCGAAAGGAATCGATAAGGATGCTTGGCGGTGTACTCTCAGCCCAAGGGCCCCAAGCCCCAGACAGAAGCCTCCCAGCTCCCTTTAAGTCGCTGGTTCCAATTTCGGAGGATGGACGCCACCAAAAGTTCGAGTGCCTTGCAGTGGACGTTCAGAGCCAAAAGCCTAAGGAGCCTCCTTCGCCCGCCGGCGGCTGACGCCATGCCGCTGGAGGTTCGGAGAGCTGCGAGTCTCAGAGTGGGGATTGTGCTGCGCTGCGGGGCTTCGGCACCGGTTGCAGCAGCTGAGGTTAAAATCGCGGTTTCAAATTCCGTTCCGATTTGCCAGCAGTCCAGATACTTGGACAGGTTCTCCAGCGAATGGAGCAGCAGAAGGTGGGAGCAGCTGTTCAGCTGTCTTGACACTTGTGATAATTATTGTGCTCGGAACACAAAGCAGATCGGAACTCTGGTATACGTAGGTTTAGCAGCTCTACCTCTTGCACCTGCACCTGTGCCGATCTTTGCACAGTTGCCGGCTTTGTTTTTCGGATGCGAATGCAGCCTGTCAATACTTTCATCAGTTGTCCTGCTTCCCTGTCTTCTGATGATTACCCCTTTTCACAACGGAACCATCCTTCTTTGTTATCATGCTCAAGACCATGCTGCGCATGTGTGCCGGATAGCAGCTTGACAAGAGATCGATGACAACGCGCCATTCCAGGTGTTGAGGTCGATTTTTTCTGGCTGGGGCGATACTTCACAAACTTCGTGGCAAGCCCCAGGGAGAGTTCACGGATACTTTACCCTAAACCCCCCCCCAAATCCCCAAACCTCTAAACCCTACAACCTCATAGTCCCAACCCCTTAGTACCGTTACGTATAGTATAGTGCAGTATCACAGCAAGTATAGTATCACACACCTAAATAGCTATACTAGAACAAGATGTTGATCGATGAAGGCAAGTTCCTCCCGTCCAGGTCGAGGCAGCGAATTCAAGGACCCTCGCCCGAGTTCAAGAAGTGCTGGCGGGCTGCAGCTTGTGCAATGTGAGCTGCCTGCTGCCGAAAGCTGCCCGGGCTTTTTAGATGTATGCTTACCTTGTGGATTGCGTGAAACTGCTCACACGGCCCGAAAGCCTTGAGCTGTCAGCCGACTCCTTAGTGCCAAGTCTGGTAGGAGCGGTTTGGGCAGGTTCATTGCCATGGCAATCAGTAAGAACAGGAAGAAAAGAAACAGAAGGCGGCAGCGGCTTCAAGCCGAAGCTGAAGTGTGCAGTTCAGAGACGGCAGAAGCTGCAGCGTGCGGCAGCTCAGAGACGGCGAAAGATGGAATTCAGAAGCAAGCCTTTCATGGGGATCAGGCGCCTAATATGGATGTTGTGAGAGAGCTTCAAGAGGAGCTTCGTCAGGCAAGATGTGATTTGAAACTGTTGAGCAAGTCCAACAAAGGCCTCTTGATTCAGCTCAGGCGGGTGCGGAGCTCCAACACGGCCCTTCAAAAGAAGTTGGACGAGAAGACCCGGATGCTTGCAAAAGAGCAAGAGTTCAATGCAGCTCTTGTGGATGGCCTCCGACAGGTAGGTACACGGACATGCTCCGAAGCCTCTGGAAGGTATGAGACCGTTGCTTGCTGGGAGTATCTTGAGCGAGAGCCGGACTCATGGAGACGATATCTCCCGGATGCAGAACAGTCCTTAGAAGAAGCACACTGGGACAACTTGCCGGAGCTGACTATCAGTGGATCGGGTTTCAGGTATCTCATCAGCTTTTCTGCCATGACTCAGACAAATGTGGAGACAAGAAAGACGCGTACTGTACGCAGGCGAGAAATTCCGTTGCACGCCGATGCCGTACTCAAGATGACTACGGAAACCCAGCACTTGCGTGGAGAGAATCAACACTTGAATGCGGTCCTTCGCAAGAAGACTGAAGAGATCCAAGAACTGGAGAAAGATGTTCAGAGCAAGGAGAGACATATCGATGATTTGCACTGGTCCGTCCAGTACTTACATGACTCTGCCAGAAAGACGGATCAGCAGTATGCGAAGCTGCAGTCTGAGCACGCCGCATTGAAGAACCATGTTCACGAGTCCGATAAGCTTCAGTCAGCTTTGGAGCAGGACAGGCAAAGACATTGCAAGGTAATTCTTTCCCAGCTTCCCGCGAAACCACTGGATGAATCAGCGAGATATGTTTGCAGAAGCTTGAGTGTAGAAGATCCGAAATATGCTTTTCTATCACGGCAATTTCAATCCTCCTTCGTCGGCCATCGCTTGAGACTTGGCTCTGACCTTTGGTGCGATCCGGCAAGGGTGTGTGTGACACGCATCGAGGAGTTGGTTCACCCTGCAAATCAGCTGCTTTATGAAGCAGCGCGTCGTATCAGAGCGAGTGAAGATATCAGTTGTGGATGCACTCCAATTGCAGGCATCTCTGCCTTCAAGTGCGAGGTCCTTTCGGGCTGGGTTGACATGAACGAATACCTGCTTTATCACGGCACCAGCCTGTGTAATGCAGAGCAAATAGTTGCCCGGGGATTTGATGCCCAGCGCGGCGGAGAGTCAGCCGGGGCGATGTTTGGAAGGGGTGTCTACTTCGCAGAGAATGCCTCGAAGTCAGATCTCTACACAACTTGTGATCTATGCAAGGACATCGGCAACCATGACTTCCGTAAATGTTGTCATGCCCAAGGTGAGAGATGCGTCTTGGTCACAAGGGTGCTTCTGGGAGAGAGCAAGATTGTCAAGAAACTGGTTGATGCCGGAGGAAAGGATCAGATTCGGGCTCCGCAGCGTGATGACGGAACATCCTACGATTCCATTACCGCAGTATCAAAATCGGAGGGGGGACTGGTAGACCATCGGGAGTTCGTGGTGTTCAAGGACCCGAAAATGCTTGCGCGTTTCCGGATCTTTTACCGGCACGACTGCGGTTGCTCATGCAACGGTTGCCAGCAACGCAGATCAAGCACCTAAATTAGTCGGACTGCCTTGTCGGCAAGGTCAAACTGGCCAAAAGGCCACCATGGCTTTGCCATATTTAAAGTGGTATCAAAACGAGCGACCAGGTATCTGCCTGTATTGACGCACTGGTCAGCATTGGAATCGGATATTAACATAGCTTGAAACAACATTTTTTGTGTAAAACGAAAGCCAAAGTACAACCATGAGCTCAAACTAACACGAACACCATATGTAAATAATGGAATGTATCATGGTGTAATATCATGTAATATAGCATAATGCATCATGAGAAAATCCATAAGGTATACTATAGTCCACCCCGGCTGCTTTGCGGCTGAGTCCAAAAGGGAGGGGGTCTACAAGGGGGTTTTCAAAGGCAAGCGTGGTCCCTGCGTTTCTACGGTTTAGGATTTAAGTGGGGGGTTCTGATTCTCAGACCAGAATCGTATACATTCAAGGTCAGTATTGGTGATTCACATTTTATGAAACTCTCTAAACGGGCACTGGGTAGGCATCTCTGTGGCTTCTGAAGGCTCTGTGATGAAGCATGCCGAGCTCGTGCTAGCCTGAAGTCATACTGTCATACGGCCACCTGATTCCCAAACCATGGAAGCCACTATGGGCTTCATCTTGCAAATCTTGTTCGGGAGGAGTCTACCGGAGGTTCGGCAGGAGTCTTCCCAGCGTGCAATGACGGTTGCGAGGCCATGCGGAGAATACGTTGTCCTGTGCTATGTTACAATATCAGCGTGGAACAGCCATGTCATAAGATCTCGAAGAGTTGGAGGGGTTTAGCGGCTTGACATGGATGGATAGTGGATGTGCACCGAAGTGGCAGAGACGGCTTCGCCTCTCGTGTTGAGGCCTGCCTACATGCTGCCTGTTACGATAGGCTCCAAGCGATTGGCCTTGAGGCTCCATGTTCGTTTTATATTACCGAGGGAATATTATGTACTATATGACGCAATATGTGTCTCATATCAAATATTGATCGTGCTATATCACTGACTATGCATTACCGAAGTGTTTGCGGCCTTTTAAGCTATGGAACAGGAAGTTGGAAGAGAAGCGAGCCGTTCTCTTCGGCCCTCCGGCTGAAACTATTGAGTTCAAGCTTCAGAAGTGCGTAGATTGTTCAGAAGACATGAAAGGTGGGGAAATGTAGAGAGTTTCTGGGTACATCAAGGTAGCGGTGCTTCTAAACCCAATGCCCCAGTGTTCGGAGACTAAGGTGCATACTGGTGTCCCTACTGCGATCAGGAGTGGGCTCAAATCGCAGACTGCCTGACTCTGAGCCCTTGAAGAGTAGACTGCTCGAGTGTTCCAAGTTGCTCCTCATCCTCGAGTTCACTTAGTGTGGGTGGTTGTCAAAGTTATGGTCCCCTTGGGTCCTTATTATAACACGGCACCTATTATTTAGGGTACGCCAAAAGGGACCATAATTTTGACAACTACCCACTTGACAGGAGAGGCAGGCTTTGGGCCGCGAGGTGTTCGATGGCCGCAAGGTGACCTTGGACCAAATGGGTCAGATTCACGATCTGGCATATATATTGGGTTCCTTGCACGGCGCTTAAACTAAAGGCAAAGACTGCGGAGTTCAGGCAGCTTCGAGCTGGCGTGGTTTCGGTTTGCGGCAGACTAAGACGATTGTCCGCGTTGTCTGCGCATGGCTCGAAAGCTCTTTGGCGATGTCAAGTTCTGACTCCAGTACATTCGAAGCTACTTTGTTTGACACTCAGGCAAACCTAAGCCGCCCGAGCCCCTGAACAGGAATACGTGCGCTACGTGGAATGCGACCCGCGTGGTGAGAATGCCCAGCCAGGGCTCTGCCAAGCAGCGGGTGTGCTTCTGGGATGCATTTGGTTAGGTGAGCCTTTGCTCGGCTTTGAGCTGGGTGCTACGTGTGTGAAGATGATGATCGGGACCTACGCAGACGGTTGCGGGTAACAACGGTGAACAAAAGCTCCGATGCTGGTAACGATGATGATGATGATGATCATCATCATCATCATCATCGCGGAAATTGTGATGGTGACGGCAAGACAATCGTGCTGATGATGATTATTATGACGATGATGATGATGCTGGTATTCTTCTTCTTCATCATCATCGTCATCGTCATCATGATTTGCTGTCTGCGAATGTCCGCGGTCAGTGTTCTCGGCCCTGCAAGTAGCGTTTAAGGCGAGCTGATGCCGAGGTCAAGAACCTGAGTCCTAAACACAAAGATCTCTCAGACTCTCAGACACCCGAGGACGAGTTTTCCGACCTGGGCTGTGGCCGTCGAGCCGAGCACGCCGGAAGGGCTGCCCTTCGAGCTCTACCCAGGCAGGCTCGTGTGTGTTTATATAGATTTAGATAGATAGATAGATAGATAGATAGATAGATAGATTTATGCATATGCATAAAAAGGTATACGTTTTTCGGAGACAGTTGATATTCAACCCTTCTCCGAAACGCCTTTGATGATTGGTCCCTTGCAGGCTTCAAGGGCCTGACCGGTCTAGAGCGGATGGTTGGGCTTGCGCGCGCGCCTCAAAGCCTTGCTCCCTTGGGCTCTGGACTTCGGCTTACAGCGGCTTCCTGCATTAGCCCTTATAGGAACCTTTATAGTAATCCTGTTTAAGGAACCCCATAATTTCACCATAGTTGTGTCCTAGAGGGATCGGTGCCGAGATTCAGAGGTTTAGAGCGGTTGACAACTGCTTAGTCTCGGTCTCTGCTCAGAGGTTGCATGGTATTGCAATCCTGCTTGACTGATGTTCGACCAGCGGATGTTCAGGAGGCCGCTTGCTATCAAAGTCCAAAATCAAAATCATCACACACACCTTCCGCGCGCCTATTTTGCCGCAGCCAAATTCCAGCCCCTATCCTGCCCTTGGCGCGTGTGAGCCATCGACGATGAAACCCTTGAGCCTTTGACCTTCAGTCTTTCGGAACTCCAGCTGCGATCAAAAGTCACGGATCCCTCGCACGACTTTCGCAAGCAGGTTCCGAAGGGCCACGAAGGTCGATGCAGCCAGCACAGTCAGCTAGATCGGCCGACATTGTCATGTTTGCGTGAGAACGTTAAAGACGACCGTATGAATGGCCAAACGACATATGTGGAACATGCACCAGGGCTTGTCATCGTGGGTGATAGGATCGGAGCCTAGCTCTCTCGACTGCCTCGCGGGCTCTGGTTCTTCACACGCACGCAGGGAGGACGTCGACTCGAATGCACCGGCTGATGTTGCGGCGTTTGTGCGCAAGCCTGGACAAACTCCGGTGAAGGGGGCCGGTTTTTGAAGGCGAGGGTTCGGCGGCAGAGGGACGTGTCCGGCAGCCGGTATGAGGCTCACGCTGCTGCCGGAAGTCGGCATGTACATTTAGATGCAGATCGAGCACGATCAGAACGGCTTTACCAGTGGAAAGAGCCTCGCATAGCAAACATTTCAGCCAGACTATTGGAGTAATGGTGCGACTCGCACAGTCCCGTGCAAGTTGTTCTCTCCTTACAGTCTTGAACTTCTGGGCGATAGAGACCGTGGTTTAACCTTCTTGCACCAGCCTGCTGTCATGACCTGCGGTAGAGATGCCGTAGTGGTGCTGCTGTGGAGGGGCAAATAGCTTTGGACATGTGGTGTCACATTGTGGTGCGGTCACCTCGTGACTGGACGGCTGGCGTTAGCTTTCGGGCCCTGATGTGAGCCGTAGTTACGGGTTTGTGGGCGTTCGACTTATGGTGTCGATTTCAATGATGGGTTTGTCGTCGGGGTCGTACCGAAGTAAGGTTCGGCCTGGCCTTTCCGAGAGGGAACGGGGAAGTCTTGCCGAGGCCCCCTGCTGAGGAAGTCGCTGAAGCTGTGGCCCCACCGGTGCGGACCAATTCCGACGCCGAGGTGCCAACATCATGGATAAGGGTAGCTTAGGGCTCGTTACGTTTGCCAGTCGTAGATTTTCAGTATGGGCAGACAGAGAGTCTCGGTAGAGTCTTGGTCCCGGCTCGGTCGGGCTGTTGAAGCTACGATTTCCAAAAGTCTTGCTTCCAACTTCGTACACTGTACCGACATACAAATGTACGTACATGCAGACAGACGGAGAGAGATATGACATGACCGAGCCCAGCATATCTTGTTTGTCTATGAGTTGGGTGTTCTGTCTTGCGACTTGCTTTGCAGTCCCACATGACAAACCCGGTTCGGCGTCATCACATGCTCGCGCCCAAAGCCCAAGCACTCCGGACAACGAGACCGGACGAATCCTGGATCCCTGCCTGGAACAGGGATCCATGGATTACTCTGAAGTCTGAAGCCGAGACTCCGCCTTTGCTCTCGGCGCTCAGGCGATAACGGTGGCCAGGCGACTACAGGAAGGTTCCCCGGTTCCACCTGGGCTTGGGACTACGCGTTTAGCCTAGCTGCCAGCCGTTCGCTTCTTTTTTGAGTTGTCGGCTCCAGAGTTGGCGAAATTTGGGATCCCCAGCCCAGTCTGGGGCAGCAGGTTCCACCGTAGTCGCAACTCGGTTCAGCGTGCCTTGAAGCTCCTGGGATTCTGAACTTGGTCTCTCAGTGCAAAGCGGAGTGCCATTCCTTGCTGACCCGCCGTCGGATCAGTGCAGGCGGCGCGGTCTTCTATGGCACCTACTGGTGCCCTGCCTGCGATGCGCAGCGGCAGGCTCCCTGCAGAGACAGTTTGAAGCCGTGGCATTGCGATTCGTGGGGCCGGGAGGATCTATGCAAGCTTCCAGCAGGCACCCTGATGTCAAGTCAGTGCCGCCCGGTCCCTCGTTTCTCGTACAGCAGGGGGTCCATGGCAAGACATGACGCAGGACGCATCTCTGACTCTATATTCTATCTTACTCCATGTTGATGCCTTTCCGCTGCCAATACATCATGCTCAAACTGAAGACCTTCGAAAGTGTCGGGAACCCAAAACCGCTTATAACCATTCCAATTAAATTTGGGCGGTGTCTTGTCTGTTGGTCTGTAGCAAGCTCCAGCTGTGAACATCCTAGTGCCTCATTACCCGTAAGCTTCGCAAGTACACTCCTGTTCCTCTTGATGCGCAACTTCCCTCCAAGCAGGCCAGTAGCGGTACTGTTGATGATACAAATCTTGCATTACCTAAAGGACCCTAGACTATGGGAATTACGGTATTTTCCTTGTTATGCGTGATGCAGGATTTATATCATCAACTGTAAGAATGTCCGCAGGTCTTCGGGCAGCAAGCCTGGACCAAGGCACCCCTTGGGAAGCCTCGAAGTCCCTGCTCGCTCAAGTTTGGGTTAGATATGAGTAGCTCTCTAAATTAGGGCCCCTTTTAGGGTCCTGTCTACAAGGATGCCATAAAAATCTTGGGGATCTAAAAAAGGGATGCTAATTTAGAGAACTACCCATATATGGTTACATCTTGGGGCTTCAGCCTCTTCGTGTGCAGTCCGGGATTTCGGTCTTCGGAATGGAGGAACGCGAATGAGAGGAGAGTTTGAAGTTGTCGCAGGAATTGTTGGCGCTTCATGTCCCACATTGGGCTGCCAGGAAGAAACTTGAGAGTTTAGGGGAGCCAGACAAAAGCCCATGATGCCATGCTCGAGCGAAAGTAAGATTTGCGAGGTGCCCTACGTGGAATGCGATGAGCGCATCGGTCTCAGATTTCACGGCATCCGGCCAATTAACCACACCAAACGATCAGCCAAATCGAAGGTCAAATCCATTCGATTATTGAGCAGGTTCGGATGCTTCTAGCTGGGAGCCGGAAAAATTACAAGGCAGATTTGCGTGTGAACAGGGGAGAGATTTGCCTTTTGTGATGCAACCTGCGATCCTCACCATCATGGCTAACATAACATGTTAGTATAGATAATTGTTATAATCTGTTTACAGTGCCGGGGCCATCCGGTAAACATCGTGCACAGCGCGAGCGACTCAGCTTGTCCTGGATGGGCAGTTTTGGTTTCTACGAGAACCTACAGGGATGCCTTGTTGCATAGAGCTTCAAGGCCTCAGGAATAGAGATATACAGAACATGCAGGGCCAATGAGGGTCCATAAACGAGTACTACGCGTAAGCTTCCGCAGCCACGAAATGCAGCTCGTACAAGCAAATCGCAAGTCGGTGCATAAAGGGTACCCTTCTGCCTGCAAATCGAGCCTCCCGGCTGACCTGCAATTATTGGTCATCTGCCAATTTATCGCCTGACAAGATGACTTTGACGGTAGATCTCGATTCGCATGCGGAAGAGTTCTTGTGTGTCATATGAGGTGCTGCACAATCGGACCCAATGCGGTGACTTGGTTGCAGCTGCATGATCGGCTTGGCTGCACAGTCTTCTTCAGATTAACAGGACTAGCAGACTAGCAGATCTCAGCGCATCTACGCATACGATCACGGCATGCAGGGCTTACATGTTGATTTTGTCTTCGACCGCGTGGCTGCTGTGAAAGCTTGCGACCGAGATGCTTCCGTGCTGGTGTTGACGCCATCCCTTTCTGGACCTTCGCAGATGGCAGCACCCATGCTGGGGTGCTGACAGTCTCAGTGCCCTGACTCTTTGGAACTTGTCTAGCTTCGGGCAAGTTGCAGAGTCTGCATGCCAAGTTAGTTCACTGCATTATGATGAAATGTGTAAAGCTGATCCTGGTTTCGCCCTGCTTCGGCTTTCGCAGCTTCCTTCTTTGACTCATGGCACGCACACCTACATGCGCGTAAGCCTTAGACCAATGCATTGCACCCCCTTGAGCCCTCCTTGGACCCAGGATCTTCAAGCGAAGCTGCAGGGTTCCACAGCCTCGCCAGGTGAGGGATCATCGGATCATGCAAAACCCGGCATTGGGATTCAGAAAACGCTCGTCTTTGAGTTGACAGGATGGCCCTGTCCTGCCAAACCATGGGAGCAAAGCACCTGATGACAGTAATGTGGGTAAAGCAGACGGGCCGAATTTTCACGCTGTTTCCCTCAGAAGGAGTTTAGGTGTTTCGGAGTTCAGGATTTTGGATGCGCGCTTCAGGGTGTTAGGGTTTAGGGCGTTTGGGCGGTTTGGGCTGCGAGTACAGGTGCATCAATGCAGTTCGCGAATGTTCGGTTATCATTCACGGACACTGTCCTGCTTGGGCATTTCCCATCATCCGTCTCAGGAGAAATGAGAAGGCACAGGCTTCATTACCACTCAACTCCTCAACACTTTTGCCACAACATCAAGGCAAAAACCAATTGTGAGAATAAGCCCGGAGTCCTTAACACCCGCGCACACACAGACACTCTCTCTCCCTCTGTCTCTCTCTCTCCCTCTCTCTCTCTCTCTCTCTCTCTCTCGCTCTCTCTCTCTCTCTCTCTCTTTCTCTTTATGTTTCTTCTTTATATGCTTGTAAATATGTACCGATGCATATGTATGTACATGTTCCTATGCATACATACATATACGTATATATATATATACATATATACATACATACATACATACATACATACATACATACATACAAGAATGTGTGTGTGTATAGATGGATATTGCCTGTCTGCTTTTCATTATGGAGATACGCGTATACGTATATATACATACATACATACATACATACATACATACATACATACATACATACATACATATGTGTATACATATATATATATATATATATGGATGCATACCGAGATATAAATGTATGTGCGTACACCCGGATGCAGATTCTTAGACTCTGTTACCGAATACATGCCAACCCTGACGTCAGGCCCTGGTGCCTCGCGTGGGGCACCTGTCCAGCTGCCGATGCCTAACTCAGACTGTGCCTTTGCTGCAAAAGGAGTATTCGTATATTCATGGTATAAATGGCGGCGTTCTTAATGTTCGTGGTCCTGCGTTGGCGAGTGGTTACATAAAGATCCTCGTGCTGAGGTCTATAACAAGTGCTTCCAATTTCCCAGAACTCCTATATGAATTGCCGTGACTCATGATGAGTGGAGATGCAGGCAAAATTATCCTGAAGCTTCATCTGTCTCTCAAACCCAGAAGCTGGAAGCAACCCCACCATGGAAGCAAAGCAACACCGATGACGCTTGCGGTGTTAGTCTCAACGTTTGCTCGAGGCCGATTGATCTGCTTTTGCCCTAAGGCAAGGATTGCAAGATCGGGGATCGTCCGGACGAGAAGCCAAGTGCTGGACCACCTTCATCAAAGAGCTAAGGCGCCTAAGGCACAGGAGCTTCGAAAGTATCTGTTGTTTTGTTTGAACCGTCATTACACACGATTCCTGGTTAAAGAGCCTTGAGATTCGAAGACTTCTGGATTCGGGGCTTGCCCGTCAGCACCGTGAGTAGAAAAGCGATTTTGTTTGCAGGCCGCGCTTCGCCAGATCGGCAGTGGGCGCGCGCCTGCGCGTTGAAAAGATGAGCATGTCCATGGCACAGTTTACAGCTGAACCTGAGAAGGAAGAAGGGAGACACAGCTACACATACTAGATACAAACGACATTGATCCTTGCGTCCTACTTATAGCTAGAGCCAGTGTGCACCTGCTCCAAGTCTTGCGGGCTTGATATCGAAAGCAAGCTCCTTAGTCGGCAGAGCGAATGTCCCACACCTTCCTTCATTCTGGAGGCTTTGGCCGCTGCTCGCGAAGAGTTCGGGGAGGTGCCATGCACCGGCTCAATGTAAAGGGATTCGTGGAGTGCTTGCAATTGCAATCGCCAGCCCAGCGGATACTGCGAACAGTACGTCCCTTTAAACCCTGAACCCTAAACTGACCCGAAGCCGCACGCGCTCTAAACTCGAAACCCTCAATCGCCAAAGGAACGAAGGGATGCCACCTACGCCTCCAAGATCCTCCCCGCACCCTTTACAAAGCCTCTAATGTAGGTAGGCCACAGATTGAGAGACTTCGCTCAATACGGATGATATTCGCATGTACTGTTAAGTTAAGGCCCTGAAGGAAAGTGGGTCTATTCAGAGGTCTGCATGAAGATTCGGAAGTTTCGGACGCGAACAGGATGTCGAGCTGCGCCAAGACGACGATGTCCTGGACACCTGGTTCTCGCAGGGACCGCAGAACACCAATAATAACCTACCAGCACTCGTCCTACGGTTTCCTGCATATACTTGTGCTATTTAAAATACCCAAAGCCTATTCCAACTTTTCAGGCCCTTGTATTGCGGTTCACGTTGTAGCTTAAGGCAGTGCCGCAGACCGAAAGGCAGCTACAATCCCTCCTTCTTAGGAGCACCGACCCCCAAATCGTCAAAATCTGCAGAACCCTACAGTCCCGCAGCCCCAAAACCATACACTCTTAAGCCCTTACCGGTCTAAGCCGATAGCTAGGTCTGGGCTGTGGCCCTTCGCCACCGTCGGCTGGCCTGACGAGTCCTCGGCCGACTACTCCAAGTTCTACCCGGAGCCGGCCTTGGGAGCGGGTTTTGGGTTTAGGGGTTTGGGGTTTCGAGTTTTGGGGTTGAAGGTTTGGGGTTTTGGGAGAGTCGAAGCTCGGTTGCAGAAACACGGCAAGGAAGGGGAACCGGAAAAGCCAGAAGCCCTAAGGCAAGGCCCACCTCAACCCATTTAATGGTGGGATCCTTTTTGAGGCGTCTGTTTTTGCTGGATCCCTTAATGGGATCCGGATACTGCAGGTCGGTCACAGCTTTGGTCCCGACTGCTACTGGGAAACGCACGAACAGTTCAACTAACAGTGCCTGATAGCAGCATTTGGCCGGCCGTGGTTTCCTGGGACCAGCAAAAAGGCACAGGAGCAAGGCAACTAATTTTCCGGGTTGCACCACCCCGAATCAAAGCACGAGCTTCAGCATCCACACAGACGGGTCCTCAATGTACTATCCGAGGGCTCGATAATGCCCTTGATGGTTGCCGAAAGCCTTAGGAGCTTGCTTCCTGCGAGGTCCAATAGGCACTGAGGTGTCGAACGCACAGAGCTCTGGCAGATGACTTCAAGGCATCGAAAACAATTCCAAGTTAGCACACAACTCAACGTCACCTAAGAAACTCCTTGAGACAGAATGAAAGCGCGTGACCCTCTTGGTTGCTCCGGCGGTGTTCCTAGTCTTGGCGATGGTCGTCACCCATCTGGTGTCCCTGCTACACGTGATAGTGAAGCGACGGGTAAGAATCAGTAGGGACAGGATTGGCAGGTGGAGGTGGGGGTCTGGGGGGGGGGGGGGGGGGGNNGGCGGGCTGAAGCAGACAGAGCTTTGATCACATGAAAACATTTGGCAATTGGAATAAAAGGGTGTCGGCGCATCTGCAAGCTCACACATGGAAGCATAGACCCCATGATGCTGCCGATGTTGCTGGGTGAAGCCTTTGCCGCTCAGGCCACGATGATGGAGACGGGCTACGCCTGCCGTGCTCGCTTCCGTGGCCAGTAACCGGAGCATTAGTCTGCAACTACGGGCTCTCGCTTGTAGCTGGCTGTCAGCCTTTCTGCGCCAGGACATCCTGTTCTTCTGGGTAGCCCGAATGGTGATGATGGGACTCACTCTCACAGACAAGGCATGCGGACTTGCGGACAGCGGGGGGATGGAAAATGAAACGGGCATCTAAGATCCCGAATTGTATGGCTCAATGGCTGTGACCCTGCGCTGGCCTTTGCTCCCTGGCCTCGTGGCGCTGTGCCGCAGGCTCCCTTCAAGGAGATCTACCTTCATGGCTTGGTCAGGGACGAGAAGGGCCAGAAGATGAGCAAGACGAAAGGCCTGTTCCTGGGAGCAAGGGTAGGGGCGCCGCATCGCTGGATAATCTGGACATGAATGCAATGGTGACATCGTACTGCATCGATGATGACATGCTGCCACATTCAGATGGCCTTTACACAGTGTTGAGAGTCTTGAGCATGTTTAGAACATGGGTATCAGGCGAGTATCACTATCTAGCTATCTATCAACCCATCCATCCATCCATGCATGCA